GGTCCAGCTCCATGGTGGCTCCAGTGTCCTTGTCCTCTTCACGTAAATGATGACTTTGGATTTTGCATAACGAGCTGGCCTTTGGAACCAAATCATCTTTACAAATGAGGCAACAGATGAGCAACTGGCTTGAGCATGCACATATACTAAGTAAACCCAAATCCCTTCCTCACCCCCTTGTGCCTGCTCACCAAGCAGAGGGGGCAGGGAGGCCACACTAACTGGCTCGCTGAGCCCTGGTGATGTAGTGGTTATGAGTTGGGCTGCGACATGCATGTTCGGCAGTTCGAAACCACCAGCCACTCCGAGGGAGAATGATGGGACTTTCTATTCATGTAAACAGTTACAGTCTCAGAAATCCACAGGAGGGTCGCATGGGCTCAATGAGTTGGCATTGACTGGACTCTTTTTGGTTATTTTAATTGAGCTGATGCTTAAAATTGGTATCTTCACCATCTCAAACAAACGCAGATCTCCAGCTTTCCTTGCAAAGAGAAAATACAGTAACATGACTCCACCCAACAGAAACTGGCTGGACGGCTGGCCCAGAGTGGTGGCTGTCCTGTGCTCTCCAAGGCACCAATCACCACTACTCCCAATGGTAGACTTGGGCAAACTTCTCCTGTGCAGAGCTTGAAAGTGACAGGCTCGTGGCTGGCCGCACATTCTCTCTCAACTGCTCAACTCACTAAGCTCACAAGAAAGCAGCCTCTGACAACCGATGAACCAATGGGCATGGCTGGGTTCCAATAAAACTTTAATTGAAACAGCAGGTACCTCCTTGCCGACACATAACCCCCTCCCCGAGTTTCAAGAAAATACCTTCTAGGACAGACCAGGTGCCTACGTAAGGCCCACCTCTGGGATCCGAATCGATCCCTAGGTTAGAACCACACAAGGCACTGACACCTTACACCCTATCAGAAACTCAGACTCTGGTCTATCACTCTTCCTCCTACCCACTCATATCTTTCCTCGGCCTCAGTAACTGCCTACCTGCTGATCCTTAATCATTCTTTCATGCCTGAGCCCCTCACACCTCTGCTCCAACTGTATAGACAGACATCAAAGCAGTGCTCAGAATCAACAAGGCTGTTTCGTGTCCTTCGCAACCCACTGAGAATGCCCATTCTTACCAGTCACTTACTTATCTCTTAAATCTCGGCCCCAGAAAACCGTCTACACCAGCTCTTTCCTGTGGAGGAGAAATGGCCAGTTCTAACCATGAATGCCCACATGTGGCTGAGTGTAATTAGGTGTCTGTCCCCTCCATGAGACTGTAAGCTCCTTTAAGGCAAAGAAAGATTGTGTTTTCAAAAGGATTTTTTAAAAAAAACAAGACGGAAAATATGAACTTATTGGGAAACATACATTTCGCTGTTCAAATTAAGAATGCTTAACAACACTCCCCTAAAAAAGTGAAGTGACAACTGTGGAGAACGCATTCATAAGAACATAGGAAGGATTCCTACAATTAGTTTTAAAATAAAAGCACAAAGAACCCACAGATAAACTGGAAGAAACATGAATGAGTATTTTACAAAAATGCACATGGCTAGTAAACACAAGAGCCATTCACCAACATGTTCGGGGCTCGGAAATCAAGATCCCAGATTCCATTTTCTCCCCGCTCCATTGGCAAAACTAAAAAAAGTACCAATAGCAAGTGGTGACAAGGATTTGGAGCAGCTGATGTCCCACCAACTGAAAAGAGCTTAGCAGTATCTACTAGAATTGAACACTACTTACCTCATGACCCATCAGTGCCATCCAAGTTTATACCCAATAAAACCCTTGCACTCGTGTGACAGATGGATACAGAAATATTCTGAGCACAGTAACAAAACCCTGGAGACAAATGAATGCCTGATCATGGAAGATCCGATGAGTGAACTATGGCTATTTCTCAGTAGTGAAAACCAGTTAACCAGCTGACAGGACAGCATGTGCACAATATGGATAAACTTCGGCAACATAATCACATGGCTAGGACCAATTTCTACAGCAAGTGATGGAATGATGGTTACCTCGGGAGGAGAAAGGGAAGATCAGATGGTAAATGAGATGACTACTTTTGCTTTAAGATCCTAGCTTCCTCTCTGGGAGCTGGATCATGGTGAGCACTATGTGTCTAAAAATACAGGCTGTCCCCTGGTTATTAACAAGATCCATCCCTGTGTCTTTAAGAACTTTAAGATGAGTGGGAACAGGTGCATGGGGGGCCCTACTTAGCCTTCCTTTTGTGCAAGAGAAGGCTTGGAGCCTTTTCAAGGATTTAAAAG